CAAAACAAAACAAAACAAAAACACCTTTAAGTCTCTGTCTCAAACAAAACACAAATAGTGCTTTCATGAGTTACAGGTTAAGGGCCCAAGAGTTTGTTTGTCCTTTGTCCCTATGGTGGACTCTGACTATGTCATACCTTTGTCAGTCGGAGCCTGAGAAGGGAACAGCCCAAAGGGCTGTCCAGTGGATGAGCAAACAGCTGGGCTGGTACCCCAGGAAGTGTTCTGTATGCTAAATATGTCCTGGGCTGAGGTAGAAACTGTGGAGAGAGAGAGAGAGAGAGAGAGAGAGAGAGAGAGAGAGAGAGAGAGAGAGAGAGAGAGAGAGAGAGAGAGAGAGAGAGACATTTTGTGTTCTGAAGGAGGTAGCACTTCCTCTGGAGAAACAGCAATAGCTACTTCCTTCCTTCCTTAGATTTTGCTGTCCTGTTGAATACGGTAGTTCCTAGTCATGGGAAGCTGTTTAAAACTAAATTAATCCAAATAAACAAAATTGAAAATTCAAGCCAGACATGTGGGTGCAAACCTGTAATCCTAGCACCCAGGGAGGCTGAGGCAGGAGGATCATAAATCCCAGCCCAGCCTGGGTAATTTAGCTATTTAGCAGGACTCTGCCTCAAAATAAAAATAGGGCAGGTAATATAATTTGGTGCAAAGGCCCTGGTTTTAATCCTGGTTCAATACATACATAAAATCAATTTATCAGTCACAGCAGCTGAATTTCAGGAGTCAGTGGCAACACGTGGCCAGTGGCTGCTGTAGTGGACAGCACATTCTCATCCTCCTGGAAAGTGCCCTGGACCGTGCTGGACTAGGAATCTCAGGCTATGAGAAGAGTCCTCTCATAAGGGGCCTTGGGCGCAGAGCTAACCGCTGTATCCTATTCCTGCCCTTCCCCGCAGGGTAACACTGTGTAGTTGAGGCTACCCTTCAACTCACTGTGTAGCCCAGGCTGGCCTGAAACTCACAACGATGGTCCTGCCTCAGCCTCCCTAATCCTGAGAGTCCAGGTGTGCACCACTGTGCCTAGTTTCCCTTCTTCCACAGGTGCCAGTAGGTAGACTGTGCACACAGCTGGCCAGAGTTGGGGCTCCGTGGTCTCTCCATCCCTGTCCTGCCCTCTGGCTTGTTCTCATGCTTGCTCCACCCTTCTAGTCCCTGGAAAACAAGCTGCAGAGAAAACTTTTCCATTAACTTTGACCTAGTTTTCTGAGCACAGACTCAAAGGGGAGGAGCCATAAATTTTTGAACAGGTGAGAAAGGAGTTAGCAGTCCTGGTGCAAGTCACCATGGCAACGGGGAGAGTTAGAGACTGAGGAACTGAAGGTGGGAAACAGACACAGAGAGGGGGAGAAAACCACAAAGGAGCTATGGAGAATGCAAGGCCAATAAGCAAAACAACATGAAGCTTGAAATGAGAAAGATCTTTATTCAGTTCTACTTTTTTTCTTTCATTCTTTCCTTTCTTTTTTTAATCTTTGTGAGTCAGGGTCTCAGGATGCAGTTCAGGCTGGCCTTGAGTTCACTTTGTAGCCCAGGCTGGACTCAAACTCACAACAATCCTCCTGCTTAAGCCTCCCAAGTGCTGGGATTACAGGCGTGCACCACTGTGTCCAGTGCACAGTGATCTCATACAGGATTTTTGGGAGTTAGATCTATTTGTAAAAATGTAAAACAAGAAACCAGAAATTACTATGTATTAACCTCTGCTATCTCAGCCGTAAGAATCATTTCAATTAGTGATACAATTGTGATATCAATTTTTTTTTTTTTTGAGACACTGTCTTGTTATGTAGTTCAGGCTGGCCTTGAACTCACTATGTAGCCCAAGCTGGCATCAAGTTTGTAGCAGTCTTCCTGCCTCAGCCTCCCTTGTGTAGGCATGCACCACCTTGCCTGGCTGAGCCTGTTATTAATACCTTGATTGTGATGAGACACACCTGCAATCCCAGCATTCGGAGGCAGGAACATTGTAAATTGGGCTGGGGAGATAGCTTGGTGCCACAGTGCCTAGCTGGCAAGCACAAGTCCTGAGCTTGATTCCTGGTGCCAAAGAAAAATAATACTCAGAAATTGTAAGTTGGAGCACAGCCTGGACAAAATAGCAAAGTCCTGTCTGAAAAATTAATGCTGGACATGATAATTTCAGCACTCAGGAGGCTGAAGCAGCAGGACTGATGCAAGTTTGAGGCCAACCTAAATTACAGCGAGGCCCCGTTTCAAAAACTAAATCAATAATCAATCTAATCTATACAGTGAGACCCTGTTTCATAGTTATATAAACATTAAAGTTCAGGGTTGAGAAGATAACTCAGTGGCACCTGCCTCGTAAGCAGAAGGTTCTGAGTTCAATCCCTGGTACCAGAAAAAAAATAAATAATAATAATAAAGTTCTTCAAAGGACAAGGGATGTAGCTCAGTGCAAAGATCCTGGGTTCAGTTCCAAGTAGAAACAGCAAAGAAACAACCAAAAACCTTAAGAAATAAACAGGAACTGCCTAAGCATATCCTGAAGGATGAGGGCAGGTTAAATATTCAGCAAACACTTACTGGGTTATGATTATGTGCTTGGACAAAATATGTGCTAGGAACTGCAGAGATAAAGCTGGTGGCTGCCAGCTGGGTGTGGCTGAGGCAGGGCATCACCATGCGCTGGAGAGCAGCTCCAGGCGCAGAGTGAGTGGAAGGCCAGCCTGGGCTACGCGCGAAGACCCTGCCTCAAAGCCAACGAGGGCTGGAGAGACAGCTCAGCATGGTCAGCACTTGCCTGGCATGCACAAGGTCTTGAGTTTCGTCCCTGGTACCATGAAAACAACAACAGTTTCACTTAAAGCCTCATCTCTACCAGGCTGACATGTGGAGCTAAGGGCAGGAGTGCACATTTCAAAGCCAAAGGACATCAAGGCTAGCCGTGAACTACATAGGGAAACCAAACCCATGAAAAAAAGAAAGGGAGAGAGAGAGAGGGAGAGAGAGAGAGAGTCAGAGAGACAGAGACAGAGACAGAGAGAGACACAGAGAGAGACACAGAGAGAGACACAGAGAGACAGAGCCAGACAGAGACAGAGACAGCGAAACAGAGATAGAGACAGACAGACAGAGACAGACACACAGAGACAGAGAGACAGAGAGAGACACAGAGAGACAGAGACAGACAGAGACAGAGACAGAGACAGAGAAACAGAGATAGAGACAGACAGACAGAGACAGAGAGACAGTGAGAGACACAGAGAGACAGAGACAGAGACAGAGACAGAGACAGAGAAACAGAGATAGAGACAGACAGAGACAGAGAGACAGAGACAGAGACATACAGAGACAGAGACACAGACAGACAGACAGACACAGAGACAGAGACAGAGAGACAGAGACAGACAGACAGACAGAGACAGAGACAGAGACAGGGAGAGACAGAGACAGAGAAAGAAAGAAGGAAAGAAAGAAAGGAGAGAAAAAAAAAAAGGAAGAGGAGCTGCTTCCAAAGAATATGATACTCACAACTGAAATGCTCTCAAGTCCCAAATGGTTATTCTGGTCAGCACACAAACTAGGCTTCTACTGGGAAGAATGTTTACAGTGAAAAACAAGCTATAAAAATATCTCACCTCTGGTTCTGGTGAGATAGCTCAGCAGATTAAGCTCCTGCTTTGGCAAGCGACAGAGTCCGGGCATGGTGGTACAAGCCTGTAATCCCAGTGCTTGGGAGGCTGTAAACAGGAGGATCACTAGGAGTTGGAGCGGCCTCTACCAAATACATAAATGAAAATTTTAAAAAGGAACCTCTGGAGCCGGGTGTGGCTCAGCAGTGCAGCCCGTGTTGCTTGTTGAAGGCCCCTGGGTTCAGACCCCAACTCCACAAAAGTTAAGAAATATGGGACTGGGGAGATAGCTTAGCAGCGTAAGTGCCTGCCTGGCAAGGGCAAGATCCAGAGTTCAATCCCTGGTCCCACTAAAGTAATACTTTTACTACTTTAGTAACCCATGCCATGATCCCAGTGCTCTGGGCAGGTGGGGCAAGACGATTAGGAATTTGAGACCAACCTAGTCAATTTAGCTAGACTGCCTCAAAACCTGAGGGCTGGGGCTGTAACTCAGTGTGAAGACCTTGGGTTCAACCAGTAGTGAAAAGGGAATTTGAAACATTTGGCTTCCAAATCTTTTCACAGATGTGGTTTCTCTGTGCTTAAGAATTCATTAACTCCAAAAATGAAAGAATGTAGTAATGACTGGCGATGGCTGTGGAAGACTAGCCTAGACCAGCAGAGGAACTCACTTCAGCCCTTTGGTGAAGGGACAGCACCCCAGCTCCAGACCCCGCCTTCTCAGCCCTGGCCCACCCAGTCACAGGCAGGCTGACCAGCCTCCCCACAGTGGGGTCTTCAGCAACAGGAACTGTAAAGCAAGGGAAGCTCCTGGGAGGATACCTTCTCATAGATTCCAGAGACAAGAACATTTTTAGCCATTAAAAAATTTTTTATTTTAAATTTTTTTTACAAAGAGTACCCCACGTGGGATGAAAATACATCTGGTTAAGTACAAAATATAGTTTTTATCATACAAAAAGTTACACAAAATACAAAAACAATGATACCACCACCTTCAGCCCATACTTTCTGGCGGTAAAAATTCTCAGCAAAGTGTGGAGCTCAGTGCTCTGACAAAAGACAGCAAACAAAGTGCTTTGGCTGAAGGGGGCTGATCAAGTGCCAGAGGCTACAGTGAGAAGACGGGCTGGCACCCCCTCTCCTAACACTGGGCAGAAAGGGGGCCGACGCGCCCTCTAGTTTCTCATGGCAGTGTCTGGAGGCTCTAATCACAGTGTCGGGGCATTTGTTCCAGAGTCCCTCCTGCGGTGTATAGAGTCACAGTGGGCGAGGCGGAGAGCAGCAGCCCTTGATATGATTAATGTCAGAATTATACAATTCTGCACACTGGGACAAAGCCTCGAAAGTCATGCTAACACATTCATGTCATTACACACAGCCCTGGAGACTAGTAGCTTACATGTGAGATGGGGAAGAAAAGCACAGAAACAAAATTAATAGGAACTAAAGTGCTGATAGCATCCCCTCGGAATCAATTCCAAGGAGTCACATGAAAAGAAAAACAGATCCTCTCCATGTTAAGTTTGCAACAGAACACAGTGCAATAAGGCTCTATGAATGGCTTTTAAGGCTTTTGGTGCGGCGTAGTTGCTACTGCTTTAAGCCAGGTAGAAAATCCTAAAGAAACATCATGTCAGAAAAGCTTCCCACAGGAGAAGCACTCTACAGCCGAAACCAAATTAGCCTTGGAACATTTTTTTTTCTTGTAAGTGGGAAACATTGATTTTAAAAACCTCTTTTGCTTAGTTCACTAAACTGATTCTGTTCCACATGGCACGAGTTGGAAGTTCGATGTTATTCCAACAATCTGTAATTCCTTTTTTAAAAAAAATTGGGAGCCTGGGGTGGTGGTGCACACCTATAATCCCAGCACTCAGGACGCCGAGGCAGGATTGCTGCAAGTTCGAGATCAGCCTGAATTAAAGTGATTTCAAGGCTGTAACTCCAACTACTGAAAATGCCTCAATCTTCACGGAGATCTGAGAAAATAGAATGAGGCTGAATTTCTCTAGTGTGTTTTTAAACCCATCCAGCAAACACTCCTATATCCCAACTTTGGCGCCGGCTGATAAGTCCATGCCATCTGAGGCCTGAACTGCCTGCTGATCACGGCCTGCATCAGGGAGTCTGAGGCTGGGGGGGACCCATATCCCACTGCAGAGACCACAGTGTCTCTAAGAAAGTGAGAGTCCACAAGAGGTGGGAAGAAATGAGTAGGCACAGCTGCTTCTTTTCTTCCGGGCGCTCACTGGACATTGTTATTGAGGATGCAAGGATCCACCTGAAAATAACAAAGCAGAGGTCAACTGACTTTGGGGAAGACCACAAACAGCCTTCTTTTAGGTCCTCCAAGCCAAGCACTTACTGAAAGCTTAGGACAAGTATGAAGAAAAATGACAACTCTCACCTCAGTGTACGTGGGTGGTGGCATGAACTTGAACTCAGGAGCATACATAAAGATAGGGCTATCTTGAGATCCATCAGCGTCCTCCAGCAGCGGAGTGGTTGGGCTCTCCAATCGGTGATCTTCAGGAATTATATCCATGTAACAAGGAGGAGCTGCAGTGAGGAGATAGAGGAATAAACAGCTTAGCCAAGAAATGCCAAACTATCACAGTTTTACACATCTAAATAAGGCCAGGGTGTGTGTGTGGGGGGGGAAACATTGTGTGGGGCTCACCTTCTGGAGTATCAGGGATGTTCAGGTCTATCCAGCTCATTTCCGAGCTAGCTCTGCTGGCCATGCTGGATGTCCGGCTGCTTAGACCCGACCTACTGCCAATCACCAGGGGTAGGTCAAGGATGACTTTCTTGGACCCGGGGACACTCACATAGATCTAGAAAGGAAGATGGGATTTGTTAGATGGGAAGCCTGGGGGAAAACACTACTCTGGAAACAACTTCTCTCCTACAGCCACCCCCACCCACTCACCAGCAAAGAATATTCAACTCGAAGGATGTTGCAGCCCAGAATAGACGGCCTGATCTTCTGCACCCGAAGGCTCTTGCCTCGCCATGATGCGCATGTCCCCGAAATAATATGATTGCCTCTCACCGACGACAGCTTCTGCGTGAACACCTTGGTCTGGCCGTTGGCAAGGTAAGTGTGGCGAGCCACAATGGCTGCTTTGGGGACCACAATGCGGGAGCATGTATTCTCGAAGTCAGCATGAATGGAAATGTCATCACCTGGCAACCAGAGAGAAGTAAACATTGACCAACAGTACAGCTAAGGACATCCCCTGTGCTCCTCCTACCCCGCATCCTTAGTGCCATCCCCGAGCCCCCATTTCCTGTCAGTCCTTCTCAGCACAAAGTTTTTACCTTCACAGAATCCTTTTCTGTCAATTCGAGCGGAGACCGATACACGTCCATCGGGAATGAACATGCAAGAAACTTTCTTCTCCTTTTTAGCGGACACTGGAGCCTATGTAAAAGAGAGGAAAGAGCGTTTTATGTGTATTGCCCAAGACACTTTATCATCCTATGACCAAGCACAACAGAACTTGGAATGAGCCTCACCATTAAATCAGGGGTATTGATATCCACCAGATCCATCACTTCAAAGTATTTCTTGGTCTCCTGAGTTGGCTGGCTGGGGCGATCAAGAAAAGCCTTCACCCAGTAGTCTACACAACCGTATTTTCCTTTGAAGGATGTTCCCAGAGGCCTGTGTCCAAAACAAAAGGTGGGGGAGGTACATTTAAAACGCTTTCCAGGAACAGTATGTGATCACAGAAGTAGGAAGATTTTTTTTTTTTTTTTTAAAGAAACAGAGTCCAAAAAGATGCATTTAGTTGATAACCTACCCTTCAGGAAGCTCAAAGCTGAACTTGTACTCGTATTGGTTTCCAGGTCTCATGATCACCATCTCGTTCTCACCTGAAAGGGGAGAAAAAGCAGGTAACCATTAGGTTTCTCCTTACACTTGAAATGCAGCTGTGTGTTGAGGATGTCCGCACTGTATCCAAGAGGGACCTAATACACCCATTTCCATCCCTTACGTTCTTAAAGATTCGGATGCAACTTAATTTTACAATTTTGAAAGGCTGGCCCAGAAAAACAAAGAACAAGCAACTTGTGTGTCAGAAATTTCAAACAGCTGAATAATCACGGGGTGGATGGAAGGGATATGTTTGCAAATTAAAACGAAGAATTAGGAAGTAGCCCATAGCTCAAACCGCTCCAACTGGGCGAGCTGCAGCATTCAGCACAAGCTGGACGCACTCCTTCAGGTGAACTGGCTCTCCCGCCCCTGCAGTGACTGCCCGGGAGCTGCGCTCACCTGTGGGCTGGTCCTCCAGGCTGAGCGTGTCTTCGTAGCGCAGGTAGTCCAGGCTCTGCTTGCACTGCTGCGAGCCCTGCATCCACACGACCTTAGCCACGCCGCAAGCCAGGATCCTCAGGGCTTTGACTCGAGTGACTTCACACACCTCCACGACCACCCGGCCGGCCACCTTCTCCCCGCTGCCGTACACCTTCTCGGGGTCGTTAAAGACCACCTCGAAAGATTTGATCTTCTTGAACATCACCATGATTGAGTTGAGTCGACTGGCTCCGGACAAGACAAAACCCCAAATCCAAAATGACTCTTCAGCCAAAGATTTCACTCTTGCTTAAGGAAAAGTATCCTTAAGCAGGTGGAGCTTAAAAAACAAAAATCAAAAAAGATGCCCACTAAAGGAATCTTCACTTTCAAAAAGATGCCTGGAAATGTTCTAACCTGCTGGCTATGCCAAGAGCTTTTCTTAAGAAAAAATTCTTCTCCCTTTTTTTTCCCAAGGTGCTGGAGGAGCGCTCCGGAGATCCACAGGACCGCAGCTCTACCCAAAGAGGAAAACAGACTTAGGAGCCAAAGCCGGAAACTGCCTCTATATAGTTGCCAGACCCGGCTGCACCACGAGAGTGCTAGCCCGGAGGCTCGTGCTGCCCTCGTGCACAGCTCTCCCATTGGCTGCCTGATCCGTGTTTACCAGGAGCCCGGCCAATCAGCGCAGCCTCAGGGGCGCGTGGACACGGAGTGCACGGGAGGGAGCGCGGCTGCTGCGCCGGGGTGCGCCGGTAGCGGGGCGGGGGAATGGGGTGGAGGAAGCTCGGGGCGATGTCCCCGCGGGGTCGGAGCCGGGTCCGAACGCTGAAACCGGTCCAGGGCGAGAGCCCTTGGGGGCCTACTGTGGCTGATGGTCTGGGAGCGGCTTTTTTTTTAAAGATAGAAAATGTGCTTAGGAGGGACGTTCATGCCCAGCCTTAGCCGGGCAGTTTAGTCGCCGCTGTTTATTCCTGGCTCACAAGTCGCAAGTCTGTGGAAAAACAACCCCAGAGCGCCAAGAATACTTGAGGATTGGGGCGGAGGGCAGAGCGCTGAGGTTATTAGTCACAGATCCTCTTTGCCCTTCTCTTGGCTCCGGTGTCTAGTAAAACCCTCCACGAAACTGCTGTCGGTTTGGAAGGGGAGCTCGCCACGCACTTCCACCCTCACCCCGCCGCAGCCTCCCCAGCTCCTCGCTCCGGAAATTGTGCGGGCGCGCCCGCATCCTGCCGCTTATGCCCTCATCAGTGTCTGCTGCGGAGTTGGGGAACATTTTGTTTATGTTCCTCTGCTCCCCACGTTACGTCTGTAGTGAGATGTGTCCTTCCAATTCTGATGATCTTCCCCGCTTCTCCGGGAAAAAAAAAGCAGCTTTGTCCTTTGAATTTTCTTCCTGAGATACTTTCATGCATTCTTGTTTTCATCTCTCTGAAGTTACGAAATCAAATGCTCATACATCAACCTTTTTTTCCCCTTAATTTTGAGTCAAGGTCTCACTCTGTATGATTCAGACTGGCCTCGGACTGTGGAGTGCTGTGATGGTTTACATCCATAAACCTGTTGTTCTATATGCAATCCCTGAGTGGATTAAAAGGAAGATAGTGCTTCTGTTTACGACCAAAGTGGAACACTTTCCTTATTTTTTTTTCCCCCTCCCTAGTTAGTTTAGAAATCACTAAGAAAGGAAAAGGCGATTGAGAATGGCATCATGAGCGTACGGACCAAAGCAAGGTGATAGGGGCAGGACTTTGATTAGTCTGTGGAGGTTTCCTTCGCCTACCTGGCTGACTGCGAGATGCCCTAGGAGCTGGTTTCTGAGAGATTATTCCTAAATGTAATGAAGAAATTTAATATGCAAAGGAATACTTCTAACCCCTTTTCTTGGATTCCTAGACCTGTCCCGTATTTGCACTGGGCTGTCAGGAGATTATTATCTCATTCCTTGTGCTGGAAGGAAGAAGATTGTGTTCCCAGGTTTGAGATGGGGAAGTAAATAAGAGCCTTTCAGTATACAAAAATCCTATCTTCTCAGCAAGAGGAAGGCCAGTCCGTGCTCTTACTGCTTCTTCCTTGGTCCTCACAAACCCTGCCTGGATTGACACCCGGAGGGTACCAAGTGCCAACTCAGCCCTGATACTAAGCTAGCTCAGAATCAAGCGTCATGACTGCTGGGAAACACACACAGGAACATGTTGATCCGTGGGGTGTGTGGGTTGAGACAGCACCCTGTTCTAGAACATGAACCAACTGGGTTCTAGGTGTTTTCAGTTAGTCAACAGTACTGACTGGTGGGGAAGGTGAAACTGTCACTGAAGTTACTTTATTTTTTGAGACAGGGCTTTGGCATGTAGCTCCTGCACCGCCACCCTTGGCCTCTTACTCAACTAATGTTAAGAGCTCAATATTATGGCTTTTGGTCGGCATGGTGGTATGCACCTGTAACCCTAGCACTACAGAGGCTGAGGCAGGACTGCCTCAAATTTAAGGCCAGCCTGGGCTACACAGTGAATTCAAGAGCAGCCTGGGCTACACAGTAAGACCCTGCCACAAAAAACAAAGCAAAGCAGAACAAAACAACACCTTCTAGAAAATTTTAATCTGAATGGGTATGAAAATGTAAGTATGAAACACCAAAATACTTACCAAAACACACAAATCAGTATTATTACTGCAAATAGCATGCAGATTACTGCAAAAACTATACACGTTTTGAAGTGACAACAGGAGTGTGGAGATCAGGGTGGAGTTGATTCCAGATGGTTTAGAGAATGCTGATAATTTATTCATTTGGAGACATCTATGAAGTAGTACAATTTCAATTTCAAAAATCCCACAGCAGTTCTTGCTGTTTTGCACTTCGTTTCTAGTTTTTCCTTATCTTCTCATTTTAGAGGTCAGTGCAGGCTGCTTGTTTACTCTGTGTATGCCTGAGTTCTCTTCAGTGCCCAGTGCTGTTTGATTTTGGCAAGTGCAGCTGCCTAGCAGGCCCAAGGCCAAGGCATGTTGTGAAAAGCAGGCCTCTTGGACAAAGTTGTTTATGACCTTTCACCTTATAACTCTGGATTCTGATAAACATCTGCCTCCTGATTTTTCTTTCTCAGTTCTTCAGTCAGAAGAAGAAAGAAGCAGGAGGCATGGTGGCACACACCTGTAATCCCAGCACTCTGGAGGCCGAGGCAGGAGGATCATTGCAAGTTGGAGACCAGCCTGGAGTACAAAGTGAGCTCGCAGCCAGCCTGAACTGCATAGTGAGACAAAAAGAAGGCCAGGGAAGTAACCCAGAGGCATAAGCCCCTGCCTGGCAAAAGTGCAGGGTCCGTCCCGAGTTTCATCCTTGGGACCAAAAAAAAAGTAGAAGAAAAAAATTGCAAACTCCTGCCATGTAAACAGGGTAGAAGCACTTGTGTATGGAAAGATGGCAGGGCCAGGGCAAACAGCAAAGCTGCACTCCATCCAAGACTTTGGAAAGTTAGGTCATCATTTACCTGCACCTGCCCCGCTCTCTTAGATCTCAGTGAAAGTAGCAAACCAGGTGGCAAAGTTGGTTGTTTGCTTTGCTGTGGCTGACAGGACAGCCAAGGGCTTTAGGAGGGAAGTGCCTCTGGCACTGTTGCCAGGCAGACAAGGACTGATGGCATTTCTGTCTTCTTTAGCTTCCAGCCTGACCAACATTTAGGACTGTAAAGACACATGCCCCTCCTACCCCCCAAAAATAATCACATTTTCGTCCTTTTAATCACTCCTGTCACCTTTATTCCCATAAGCTTCTTTTAACCCTCATCCAAAAGGGATTGAGAGTACAGGATCCAGCACTGTCCAACTGTGTGCATGGTTCTAGGCCAAGGATAACTCAGAATACATTAACAACTGTGTATCATCTTAGAGTTCAAAATGACTTCTTATGTAATTGTCAGTTTTGAGCAATAAAAAATAACCAAGTAGGGCTGGTGAGATGGCTCAGTGGTCTAAAGCACCTACTTAGACCAAGCTAAGCTAAGCAAAGCACAGGGACCACGGTTCAATCCCCCAGCACCACATGCCAGCTAGCCCCGCCCCCTGGTGGGCTGAGCTGGCCACACACACTAAATAAATAAATAAATAAATAAATAATTAATTAATTAAAAAAAATAACTAAGTTCTGCTAGGCATGATGACTCAGATCTGTAATCCAAGCTACTCTGGAGACTGAGGCAGGCAGATTGCAAATACCAAGGTAGGCAGGGTTATGTAGAGAGACTCTCTCTAAAAATACAGAATATAAAGGGCTGGGCTGTAACTTAGGGGTAGAGCATCTCTGAGTTTGATCTCTGGTATCATAAAACAAAACAAAACAAAACAAAAACAAAAACAGGGCTGGAGAGATAGCTCCGAGGAAAGCTAGCTCAACAGACTAAAGCACCTGTGTAGGTAAGCTTAGACAAACACAGGGACCCCTATTCCATCCCTGGCACCACATGCTGTGCCAGCCCCGCCCCCAGGGTGGCCTGAGCGGGCCCCAGAATCCAGGGTAGGGTGTAGTGGTGCACACCTGTAATCCCGGTGCTGGGGAGGCTAAAAACAGGAGGATCACTATGAGTCCAAACTGTGTAGTGAGACCCTGTAACAACCAAATACATCTAAAAAAATTTTTTTCTTTTCTTTTTTTTTTTCTTGGAATCAAACTCAGGACCTTGCACTTACAGGCAGCTGCTTGTGCCACTGAGCTATCCTCTGGCCAGATTCTTTATATGTCGATAGTACCTATAAAGTTATCTGCCAGGTCTTTTGTAGTTGACAAAGGGACTAACAGATTAGAGGGGATATAAAGAGAATGAGGTATCTGCGTGCATCAGCTCCCCACAATGGGTGTAATCACCCCTGCACACTTGTACCAATAAAAAGTAAAGTCACCTGTCATTAATGTTAGGTTTATTTCTTTTTCTTTTTATGCATTTATTTTTGAGAATAGAAAGAATTTCTTTCTTTTTTTTTTTTTTTTTTTGCAGAACCAGGGATTGAACTCAGGCCCTTGTGCTTGCCAGGCAAGCGCTTATTCTACTGAACTATCTCCCCAGCCCCTGGCCCAGAGTGGAGGCAGATCTAGCTATCCTTCCTGAGTTTCACCCCCTGGAGGGAGAGAGAGCTTCTGTCTAAAAGGGGCCCAAAACATGGGTTGCCCCAAGCCTAGATTATCTCATTTAATTCTCACAATACCCTTGTGGTTCAAGATCAGTAAAATCAAGCTCAGAAAAGTGAAGTAGCTTAGCCGAGCATGGAAGTAGACACCTAGAGCTCCTGTGCAGAAAGACTCCAAGTTTGAACTCAGGCTGGGAAATTTAGCAAGTTAGTGAGCCCCTATTTCAAAATGAAAATGTGATGTGGCTCAGTGCTAGAGTGTTTGCCTGTCATGTAGAAGTCCTTGGGTTCAATCCCCAGTACGGAAGGGAAAAAAATTTCTCAAAATGAAAAAATAGTAGAGTTCTTGTGTTTAAAATACTTTGGGAGAGGTCTTTGTCCAAGTCAGCTTTAATTACTGCAGTCTCCCTTCTTCACGGGAGATACATTC